CACTGATGAGAGGGAATCGGCAGAGGAAACAGTAATTAACAAAGGGAAAGCGCATGCAACAACAGATCTAGCTTCATGGCCAGCACTATTAAGTCAGAGTGGAGGTAACAAAATTCACGAGGTGAAATGGAAAACTCCGGTCTGTACTCAACAGGATCCAAGCCCAAAAGGAGGGTCCAAGAGCAGGTACAAAGCAGAAAGCAGGAAGTAATACAGATACAGGAAGGAAACACCAAAGGCATAGGAACTCAGAATGCAGGAGCTCAAAGGAAATTACAGCTAGAAATGAACCACAAGCCAGGAAACTGGTCGATGCTATTCGAGGAGAACAAGTTGGCAAAAAAAGGTATGAATCTGAGTTATATACCACCTACAGTATCTGAGGATGAAATAATTGTTGAACTGATGCAAGAGCATATTGAGAGTGAAGTAGACAAATGGAAATATGCAATTATCATATATGTTATTGGTGGAACACCAACGATTGGGGCTATGGAAAGGTTTATAGCTGGGCAGGGGAGCTTCTCAGTTAAACCTAAAGTATACTACCATAATGAAGGGTACTATGTGGTGAATTTTGCAAACCTAGAGGAAAGGAATATGGTGATGTACTTTGGACCTCACATGCTGAATAACGGTCTGTAGTAATTAAGCAATGGGATGATGATTTTGACTTTGGTGAAGAAGACTTAAAGACAATACCAATTTGGGTAAAGTTGCCAAATCTGCCTTTGAGTTGCTGGAGTGCAAAAGCATTGAGCAAAATTGGAAGTGGTCTAGGCCAACCCATATATGAAGATGCTTGCACTTCAAACATTGACAGAATTTCCTATGCAAGAATATTAGTGGAAGTAGATGTCACTAAGGAGCTACCAAAGAGTATCAAAGTTAAAGACCCTAAAGGGAGAGTAATAGTGCAAGAAATGTGGTATGGCTGGAAGCCCAGCTATTGTGCACAATGCATGAGGATAGGACATAATTGCCAACAACATCAGCAGGTCAAAACAGCACCAGACAAGAAGACAGAGCAACAACAGCACAGAGCACCATTTAAACAAAGGACTGAATGGAAGCCAGTTAACACGGGAGCAGGAAACCAAGGCCAACACCAGCAGGAAGTGAAAGCAAGAGTAAATGTGCAAGGGAAAGAAAGTGATAAAGGTGAAGCAACTGATGAACAATGGCAACAAGTTAAAAGCAAGTCAACAGCTAAAGGACAAAAAATTTCAGTTCCTGAGCATCAAATACAAGTGGTGAATGGCTTTAGCAGTTTAAGAGATACAAACCAGGAGCAAGCTATCAAGAGGAATACAGAGTGCAGCACAAGTAGAGGAGGGGTGGCAGAGGAGGTACACAAAACAATATAGTTGCTTAACGTTAGTAGCATGGAATGTTAGAGGGTTTAATAAAGTATTCAAGCACAAGGAGTTAAAGGAGTTTGTGAAGACTAATAAAGTAGAGATTATAGCTATATATGAACATAGAGTAAGTGAAGCAAAAGCTGAGAAGATAATTACAAAAACATTACCTGGATGGAAATGGTGCCATAATGTATCCAATACTTGCAAAGGGAGAATTTGGGTGATGTGGAATCCAAATATACTGCAGTTCACAATGATAGGAAGTTATACACAATTGATACATGGGACTGTGAAGAATATTAAAAATAAGACTGAATTCCAATTTTCTGCAATATATGGTTTACATAATATAAATGATAGGAAGGAATTATGGGAGATGATAAGAATCATTGAGAAACAAGTTAAGGAGCCATAGTTACTGATGGGAGATTTCAACTCAATCTTGGGAGCTGAAGACAGAATGCAAGGCAGGGATGTACTGGATAGTGAAACAAAAGACTTCAGAGAAGTGGTTGAGGAATGCAACTTGGCTGAACTACCTACAATAGGCAGATCATATACATGGACAAATAGCCATGTTTTTAGTAGGATTGATAGAGCTTTGGTGAATGATAAATGGATGCTAAATATGCCTCCTCAACAAGTACATGTCACGACCCTAGTTCACCAACCGTGAACATGTCATGACGACACCTAGTCCCCATGACCAGGTAAGCCTAATATTTGCGGAAATATAATAATTGCGGAAAAATAGAGAAAATCAATTCAAATATCTAAAGGAAACTGTACTGAATGCCGCTTGGCAAGTACAACTCAATATTACAAGTCTAAAACAATTCCCAAAAACCCGGAAACTCACGGGCAACACAGGCTACAGAAGTGTATAGTAAAGGTTCCAAACTCCAGAATTTCTAACAACCGAAAGAAGGAAAACTAAGAACTAAGATAGAATAAGAGGGAGACTCGTCGGTCTGCGGACGCAGCAGATCTACCTTGAAGTCTCCGTAGTCCTCCTGCCTCACTGATAGTGCGCCTGAGTAGAGGTACCTGGATGATCTGCACATGAAAAACATGCGCAGGAAGGGCATGAGTACACCACAACGGTACTCAGTAAGTGCCAAGCCTAACCTCGGTTGGGTAGTGACGAGGAAGGTCAGGGCCATACTGAGATAAAATATAGTAATAACAATAATTAACAGTATGATAATCTGACAGAAATAATAAATACAGTAGTGATATAAGACAGATTAGGCAAGGTAATAGCAAATACACAAGAACGGAACAACCACAGAATAAGTACAGCTCAACACTAATGGTAACAATGAGGATCTCCCAGGATACCGTCCTGTAGTCCTTTTCTCAACTATCCAGTGGATCTCCCGGGATACCGTCCCGTAATCCATCATATGTGTATATCCGAAGGATCTCCCGAGATACCGTCCCGTAGTCCAACTATCAATGTGCAGGGGGATCTATCGGGAATCTAACCCGCAGTCCCAAAGTAAAAGTGCAGGAGGATCTACCGGGAATCGAACCCGTAGTCCCAAAGTAAACAAACAAGGGGGAGGGGGGGAGCTACCGGAATCCCACATCCGTAGTCCCAATGTAAGTGCGCAATCACAACCAGAAGGTACACGGAAATGAAGTACAAAAGACAAGCAACATGTAGTACTAGCCTAGCATGCTTCACGTAGTACAGTTAAGGCAACTTAAGTAATTAGGCAAGTTAAATCAACTAAACATGCTTTCCTAATCTAGCACAAGTTATAATTGCAAGTAGAATAAAGCAAATATGAAAGGAACTCAATCTCAATATCTTATGAAAAATCGGATTTCCAACAATTGGCTCAAGTACACGCCCGTCACCTCGCGTACAAGGCACTCAAGTCAACAAGTAACAAATCCTAAGGGGAAAGGTCCCCCACACAAGGTTAGACAAGCCACTTACCTCGAATCGGCACCAAAATCAACTCGAAATCACACTTTTGCCACGAGTATCCGACTCCAAATGGCCCAAATCTATTCAATTTAATTACATATCGTAAGTAATATTGCAAACAATTGATTCCACTATTAAATTTAAAGCTAGGACGCGAAAACAGGTAAAATAACCAAAACGCCCCTCAGACCAACATCTCGGAATCGAATAATTTTCACATTTTTCAGAACCCTCGTACTCTCACGAGTCTAACCATATACAAATCTCCCAAATCGGAGGTCAATTGCCCACTCAAAACTCAATAATTAGGTCTATGAAGTTTCTTCCAATTTTTCCCCAAATTTTGACCTTGAATTCGAATTCTAATGGTGGATTTAACTAAATAATGATGAAATATAACAAGAAGGGACCAAAGAAACGTTACCCAGTGATCTTCACTTCAACTCCCCCTCAGAATCGCCTTAAACCGAGCTCTCAATTGATTTTTGTAACTTATGAACTCAAACCCTCGAAATTTCTATTTCTGTCCAGGGATTTCCGCTTCTGCGGACAAGGGACCGCTTCCGCGGTCCCGCTTATGCGGAAAGTGAGCCGCTTCTGTGACTCTCACTAAACGACCACATCCGCTTCTGCGGTCCAGTCAACCGCTTATGCGGATTATCCACCGCTTCTGCGGTTCCAACTAAAAGCCAAACGGCCGCATCTGCGGCTATTTTCTCGCAGATGCGAGGCCGCTCCTGCGGAATTTCCTCCGCATCTGCGACGCCTGGAAACTCTGCCCCAAACCACTTCTGCGATGATCCAGCCGCTTATGCGGCTCCGCTTCTGCGGTTCCCAAGTCGCAGAAGCGAAAATACCAGAAGATGAAAAGAACCAACTGCTGCAACACTTCAAAAATCTCCCCGTTAACCACCCGAAATCATCCCGAGGCCCCCGGGACCTCAACCAAAAGCCCTAATACCACCTAATACCTTATTCAAACTTGTACCAATCCTTAAAACACCTAAAACAACACCGGAAGTCCGATTAAATCAAAGATTCAAGCCTAAGAACTTCAAATTCCCACAAAACACACTTTCGATCAAAAACCAAACCAAACCTCGCCCGAATGACCTGAAATTTTGCACACACATCCAAAATGACATGACGGAGCTATTGTTCTTCCAAAATTCCAATCCGACCCTCGGATCAAAAACTCACTATCGGACCGGAAACTTCAAAAATTCAAACTTCGGCATTTCAAGCCTAAATGAGCTACGAGCCTCCAAAATACATTCCGAACACGCTCCCAACCCCAAAATCACCTAACGGAGCTAACGGAACCATCGGATTTCCATTCCGAGGTCTTCTTCATACTGTTCCGATTACAGACCATTTTTCAATTCTTAAGCTCTCATTTAGGGACTAAGTGTCCCAAAACACTCTGAATCCCAACACCGAACGTCGCAAAAAACCAAAATAACAAAGAACTTAGGGGAAGCAGTTAATGGGGGATCGGGGCGTAAATTCCAAAAACGACCCGCCGGGTCGTTACAGTACATGTCATGAATTCTCTTTTCTCAGATCATTCCCCCTTGGGTATTGAAATAAATGTGGAAAGTGATAATAAGAGAAGGCCTTTCAAGTTCTATAACTGTATGGTAGATCATCCTGACTTTGGACATATTGTGGAATCTAACTAGAAATGGAAAAAAGGGACAATGGAAGACATATGGCAGAATTTGAAGTATGTTAAAGCAGCTCTGAAGCAGCTAAATAACAAAGAGTTCATGAATGTCAAGCAGAAGATAAAGAGTATAAGAGAGGAGCTGGAAGAAGTACAAGGCAGAATGAAAGATCATAATGCACCATCAAGGCTATTTGAAGTGGAGAAAGGGATGATTCAACAGCTAGAGAAGTGGGATAAAATTGAGGAATCAATATACAAACAGAAGTCAAGAATACAATGGTTACAACTGGGGGACACCAATAATGCTTATTTCTTTGCAAGCATGAAAGGAAGGAAGGCTCAGAATCAAATCACAAAGCTTATTGACAGTAAGGGTAACACCTTAACAGACTGTAAAGAGATTGAAACTGAAGTGGTCAACTTTTACAAAGACCTGCTGGGATCTACATGTGGAAGCATACCTGCCATACATCCTGGGAGGATAAGGAAGGGGCCAATGTTAAGTAGGAAGCAACATTTGGAACTCATAGCTCCTTTTAACAAGGAGGATGTACATGAAGCTCTCAAGAGTATTGATGATATGAAGGCACCTGGGGGAGATGGGTTTAATGCATGCTTTTTCAAAAGCACTTGGAATATGAATGGAGATGAGATAGCAAAGGTAGTTCTACAGTTCTTTAGCACTGGGAAAATGTTCAAGCCAATAAATTCCACAGCTGTTACACTCATTCCCAAAGTAAAGAACCCAACTTCAATTAAAGAATAAAGACCAATCTCTTGCTGTACTACCCTATACAAAATCATATCCAAAATGTTGACAGGTAGGCTGAGGAGGGTCATGAACACACTGGTAGATGAAGCCAGGCAGCTTTTGTACCTGGGAGAGGATTGATGGACAATATACTACTCAGTCATGAGCTGATTAAAGGATATGGCAGGAAGGGAGTCTCACCTAGATGTATGATCAAGATAGACATGCAGAAGGCATATGACTCACTGGAATGGATCTATCTGGAGCAGGTGCTTGGTGGGCTGTGTTTTCCTAAAAAGTTTGTAGGTTAGATTATGGAGTGCATTAAAACAGTGTCCTATTCTATCAATATAAATGGCAGTCCTACTGTTCCATTTGATGCTAAGAGAGGGGTGAGACAGGGAGACCCCATGTCTCCATTGCTTTTTGTCTTAGCAATGGAATACTTGACTAGGAGTTTAAAGAACTTAAAGGATCAACCTAACTTCAATTACCACCCAAGATGTGAGAAACTGGGTATTATCCAACTTAGTTTTGCTGATGACCTGCTGCTTTTTTGCCGTGGAGATAGGGTGTCTGTGCAACTACTATATGAATGCTTCAACAGCTATTCACAAGCTTCAGGATTAGTGGCAAATCAGACTAAAAGCAACATTTATTTTGGAGGTGTCTTAAATGTAGAACATCAGGAGATTACTAAAATCACTGGGTTTAGCATTGGTGAACTGCCTTTTCGATATTTAGGTGTGCCTTTAAGTACAAAAAGGCTATCAGTAAGCCAATGCCAACCACTGCTAGACAAAATGCTGGGAAGAATTAAACAGTGGACAGTGAAGTTTTTGAGCTATGCAGGAAGATTACAACTAATCAAAAGTGTGCTCATTGCTATACAATCTTTCTGGTCGCAGATTTTTCCCTTGCCAAAGAAGATCATTCAGCAGGTGGAAGCAATATGCAGGAAATTCCTATGGACTGGTGACACCAACTCAAGTAAAAAGGCTTTAGTGGCATAGGACAAGCTGTGCAGACCTAAAACTAAAGGTGGACTGAATGTCACAGACCTCAATACATGGAATAGGGCAGCTTTGTTGAAACATCTGTGGAACTTGGGTAAGAAAAAAGATAAGCTATGGATCAAATGGGTTCATGCATACTATATAAAAGGAAGGGAACTATGGGAAGTTGATGCAAAACAAGCTTCCTGGATTATAAGGAAGATTCTACAAGCTGGGAAATACTTGACTGAAGCAGGGTTGGACACAGGAAGGGTAATGCAAGTTAATTCATTTTCCATTCGAGGAATGTATAAGCAACTAAGAGGGGGATTCCTGAAGGTGAGCTGGAGTTGAATGCTGTGCAACAACAGAAGCTGTCTAAAATGGAAATTTATCTTGTATTTGGCAGTACAGGGGAAGTTATACACAAAAGATAGACTGATAGGATGGGGAATGCAAGTAACCCCAGAATGTCCATTATGTGAACATGAGATGGAAAGTCATAGCCATATATTCTTTACTTGCAGTTTCTCAGAAGACATCTGGAGAAGATTACTAAAATGGATGGCTATTAATAGAGAACCAAAAGGATGGGATGAGGAGATCAAATGGGCAGCAGAACAGGTGAAAGGCAATGGATTCAGAACCATGTTATACAGACTGTGCATGACAGGAGCAGTATATCACATATGGCTGGAAAGGAACAGGAGACTCTTTTAGAAGATTAAGAGAAACAATGAAGACATTACTAGACAAATAGTTAGAGACATACATTGTATAGGTTATAGTCATAGTAGATTGAGGAATAGTTTACAAAAGCTCAACTATTATCCTTAGAGTAGACTTTGAGGAAGAGATGTTGCTAAGTTTGGGGCTACATGTCCAAACTTAGGAGTTATACATGTATATATTCTCTTGGTAATAAAAAAAGTTAATTACCCCAAAAAAAAAAAATCTCTCTTGTTTTTTTTTTTTGAATTTTTAGTCTTAATATACTAAAGGAAATATAAAAGCAATTTTTATTTTGATATTAATTGCCTAAAGAAAAAACCACCTCAAAGGAATTTTTTTTTTCATTTCTAGAATTAGTATTCTAAAGAAAACCTATAACGAAAATATAAAAACGCAAAATTTCTCTTTTTTTTGGATTTTTTGACTTGTAACACATCTCCAAATACAAATAAGAAATACAATAACAAAAGACTAGGCAAACTCAACTAGACTATCACAAACTCTGACATCACCTAAAAGACTGAATGCCACTATACAGGACTAAAAAGTAAAACATGAACAATTGACTCAAAAACATAAAATGGCTCCTCGAGCAGCTCCTGAATGCAGTGATCCTGGGGTGTATGTCATGATCAAACTCCGATAAGTAAATCCACATCTGTATGAGAAAACTTAAACCAACACTATGTGAGACAATAACATTCCCTACCAGACACATGCAAGACATGTCAAAATGGCTTATTTGACCAAAAAATGGCTAGAAGTGCAAAATTTGGCTAAGACCTCGCAAAGCCAAGAACCTAAAATTCACTAAGAAGACCGGACCCTATGTGGGTTGCCTACGTAGCACGCCCCGAAAGACGAGAATCAGGTATGCGTAGTTCGGGCGGATTGGATACGGTCGAGAAAGAAGAAAAATAACTAATTTAGAGAAAAAATATTTTTTGTCTTTTCCTTGAAAATGATGAAACATGTAAAATCTTTTGGGATTTTCTTTTCCCTCTTTTTTTGATTTTTGATTTTCGAAAAATGATGAAAAAGTGCAAAATCTTTTTGAATTTTTCATGTTTTTTTTCTTAACAAACATGTGACAGAAAACATAATTGGATCCTACTTGATTTATTTTTACACTTCACCCTTTCTTTTTTCCCTCTTTTTTCATTTGCCCTCAACTATCATTGATCCGCCAAATGACCCTTTTATCCTTGAAAATTACAACATGTAGCACATAGGATGCGTCAGGATGGTCTTTTAATTTTGGGTACACCTGTCCTAGACGGACCCAACCCCTGTGTTGAGTCCCCAAAGTCAAATGCATATGATGCAAACAAGCGTTCCTACTAGGGATCCGGAATGAGGCTGAGTTATTCTAAGTATAAAACCTGGGTATACTGTTCTAGACTTGTGCACTCGAGCCGAGGAGGGGCTACGTACCGGGAACCAAAAGGCCATCCGGCTTAGTAACTTGTCCGAGCCTCTTTCTTATTTCAAAGTATGACACTAATAGAATAGGGAGTCACGCCACCGTGCACATCCCCAAAGATGAGAAGAGAGGGGTTTCGTAGCAGTTTATATACAGTTCATATAATATCAAAGCGGTAAAAGCAACATTTAGCACATTAGGCCCAAACATGTAATAAAATCAGATAATGAACAAAGCCAAATACAACAATTATTCTAAGCTCGAATTCTTGAACCCTGAACCAGAAATTCTGGGTTCTTGCCCCCAGCGGAGTCGCCAGAGCTGTCACACCTCCTGTTTTACCTACACCCCGGAAGGGTATAATAGGGGAGTTTTTTCCAACTTAAAGTGACAATCGAAGCAGGATTATTTTATTTAAAGATTCAGAGTCGCCACTTGGGATAATTTATGGTGTCCCAAGTCACCGTTTCAAATCCCGAATCGAGGAAAGATTGACTCTGTATTACAGTCCGCGAACCAGAAATCCGGGTAAGGAATTATGTTAACCCGGGAGAAGGTGTTAGGCATTCCCGAGTTCCGTGGTTCTAGCACGGTCGCTCAACTGTTATTATTGGCTTATTATCTGATTTTAATACATGTTTTAGCCTATGGTACAATTTTAATCTTTAACCGCTTTTATTCATTTTTAAGGAAGAATGCAACGTTATTTAAAATATGTCTTGAACCACGTCACATAAATGCACCCGCAGTCCGCAACACATTTTATCTAACATTGATGAGATTTGGATTTGGGTCACATAAATGCGCACCCGAGTTTAGGAAGATAATATTATTAAAATAACGCGCCTAATGCAACTACGCGTTTTTAACTTTGCGAGGGCCACGGAAAATTTGCTAAATGGCACGCCTCGAATTCTAAGGATTTTAAAAGAAATAATTAAATGAGGGCCACGCATTTGAGATTTTATTTGGCGCGGCGCACCTCAATTCCTATTTTAAAAAAGGAATCCCACTACATTTGGAGGGCCATAAACTATGATTATGCTTAATATGGCACACCCCAAATCCTTTTAAAGAAATTTAATTAACTAAACACCAAAGGTATTGAAATATTACTTCGAGTAAGGGATTCAGAACAACTCGTTCAAATTGCCAAGCTGCCCTTCACAAACATTCAGTTCAATAGGAAAGCCAAAACTAAAACAGGCCCAAGTCCTTGTGAAGGACCCATTTCGAAATTGAAGAGAGAACATATGGGCTCGAACCACAAGGCCCAAAGGCTGTGAATGCAAGCCCCTCCCTTTCATTCCAGCTTGGATTCAGAGAACCAAACTCAAGGCATAACAAATCTTCTAAAATGACGACAAAGCCACAATAAGACTCGAGATCGAGTCCCTGCAGCCCCCAAAAAAAGAACGCTTGGACATTGGACTTATCCTATTCGAGTTAGTCCTCTAGCTGATTCAATCATCAGTAATTACTCGAGATGCTGCACTTGATTAGACCTCATTTCAATAACTAACAAAACCTCATGAGTCTATTAAATAAGTGGATCTAAATTCTACTCGACCCAACACGTCAGAACAGAACCAATACTCTTAATTATTTCCACGAAAGAAAACAACAGGATGTAAAGAGTTAAGCTAATCTGAGAAATCTTAAATTTGAGATTAAACCAAACACTCATTTGAAAACCTTAATACAAACTGAAGTGCCTGAGTTGTTCGGCAAATCACGAAAGAGTAATCTAGCATACAAAGAGGTAATGGAAGAGAGAACAAAGCATATCAAATTTGATTGAGAGAAACACATGGAGAACTAGTCTGATGAGATTTTACACATGACTATACAAACAACATATCCAA